ACAACAATTATGGCTCGAACGTTCTTTTTTTGATTCTGTCGAGATAAATCGATAGGATTAAAGAGCTAGTTTGGTAGCAGTATGTGACTTTTTGTAATCCATTCCTTTTTTTGATAGCTGTCATTTTTTAGGGGAGCCAATTCCTTAAACGGACTTGCTCTAGTCGGAGAAATGCTCTCTTTCTGATGATGGATGACTGCAATCGATGCTCTCGTGCATGTTTGGTAGAAAATTGTTCTTTCTCGATCAGACACTGATATTTTTTGACTAGTCTTGACTTGAACATGTTTTAAGTTTTTTTCTAAAATAATACGATTGAATTACCGAAATGAAAATGAGAATATGAAATGTATGAAAAATTGTTAATGAAAATGAGATCAAGAAGGGGTGTCATGGCTCATCATTATGCGAGGCTATCATTTTTTTTGTATGAGGTTTAAGGTCGTGTTAAGAATGCATGTGAAAACCCAATTTTTTAGACTTATGGGACAAGTTTATTATAGTAGCTTTGGGCGAAAGCACTCAGGTTCAAATTCTTTTGTTAGTTTGCCATTCTTGGTCATGCGGTTAAAGTTTAATTACCATGACTCATAGCAATCATTAAAATAATCGTCAAAATAAAAAACACTAGCTGATTTTTAGAGTATACCAGGGAAAAAGCAACTAAATACACCTACAAAAATGTGATTTATTGTTGAGACTTTATATCCCTGGTGATTAAGTTTCATCATTATGGCCTAAGGTTCTCCTAAAACTGGCACAATCTTTTTCACTTTGTGAACGCATGATCTGTCTCGTACACTGTGATCAGTCATTCTTCAACATTCCACGCTAAGAATCACTTGCTGTTATTCTTTTATAATGTACGCTTCTCTTGAAACGGATGTTGGTTATTTTGATGATTTTCGGGATAGATCTTGGAATGATAAACGTTTAGTTGCAGACGGTGCAAAAAAATTCGCACAAACTGATACTTAAATAACTATCAAAATGTACAAAAGTGACAAAGAGGGAGTTTTTTTAAAACCTTGCCGACTGATGAATTCGAGTTTTTGGTGGGCAATTAGCCTAAAATAAAAAAAAAAGACGAAAAGAAAAACTTTTGAAGTGACTGAACAACCTACATAAGAGCCAAACAAATCTAAAAAAATTGATGCTGGGAAAAAGATTGCGATGATAACTACCGGGTTGCGTAAATTTGTTTATCTCGTTAACTAATTGAAACCACAAAGCAATAGTTGAAGCAATGTATGAGCAATCCCCTGAATTTTTCATCCTGAATCATGAACCCAATTTTTCTGGCTTGCTTCAAATGCAATTTTTGCGGTATCCTCCCATTCGAATAAATTAGAATTTTGCAGTCATTTGACTGACAACAAAAAACATTATCATGTGCTGGTCGAATTCACAAAAATGTCTACAGATTTACTAAGCAAGATGACTTCAAAAGCCTTCGTCGTCCCTTGCTTCTCTCTACATTCAAATATTTGAGTTTGGGTTGCTCCAAGTATCAACTGTCTGGCCCCCTCCGATGGTAAAATTGAAAATAGCTGTGAATTTTAACCCTATCAGATAGATGTTAGTAGTGTTCCAGTTCGAGATTGCCTCAAGTTTGCTTCGGCTCGCAGACTAAATCTGTTCAAACTCCAATTGGCATGATTTCTAACTTAACAATTGAACGCTGTACTAAAACATTGAATGGTGAAACTGCTGCTGAGTTTTCTAGAAAAATTGACGTAATTTTAAGTGGGTGTAGTGGGTAAACTTATTCAAACACTCTGTTCGTAATTTTTATCACGGAGAAAAAATTGATGTTTAAAATATTGTTTTTTTTTTGCTCTCTTGTCGAAAAAATTGTTACTACACCAGCGGGAGGTGTTCCCGAGGGGTGTAGTGACAAGCAACGCCGGGTTAGCTACTACCCGCTAAACCAAATGGCCATGCCATATTATTTCAAAGGATTTGATCTGAAAATTTACGCGGTTCACATAAATTTGTAGAAATAGAAATTCTGTTGTTGATATGAATGAGTTTAAAAAAATGAATTGAAACAATTTTACAAAAACATCAATAAAATAGTTTAGAAGAACATACGTTCAGCAAATCTTATCCAATCAAGATCCCTAATTTTAAAACTAATTGGAAATCAGTATGTAAATTATAACATGAGCGACAAGAATACAATAAAGTCCGCATAAAACTGAGTCGGCTGATTGTATTAGTTTTTCATCAGTAGTTGATTTCCCCCGTGAATTGTACTTCGCATATTGTTAACCCGAGGGGATAATCATTTTATCAATTAACTATTAGATCTGCGAAGAGTGTCTGCCCTCCAGCTTGAACAAAAAGCAACCAGTGGGTTCCAGGAGGATCCGAGGGTGAAAATTCGTAATTATGAAGGTATAATCGTATTCCAGTGCTGCAGAGCTTGGTACATCTGCCGGAAACTACCTCTAAAGCGATATTTCAAACTTACAACGGCTAATAAGTTCCATAATTTTAAGGTTACCAATGGCTAGCTTAGGTCATAAGAGTGTTTTTGGTAATCGCGCATTTGCATTCGACC